CTAAAAATAAATCCTTGGAAACAACGACCGTTATTCTCTGCATAAATAAATAAATAAATAAATAAATAAATAAATAAATAAATAAATAAATAAATAAATAAATAAATAAATTAAATTAATAAACTAATTAATTAATTAATATAAATAATTTACTTTCTTGTTCTTTTTTTATTATATTATTTAATAGAGGTAATAAAGGAAGAGAAACATCAATTAATATTGGCAATAAATTGGGGTGTATAGGCAGCTCCATGATTGCTGCAACATCTGCTGCTGTTGCTGCTGCTGCTGATAGACCTATGACTACATTTGCTGCAGCACACATAACAACAGCTCGTCGTGCAGCAACAGCAGCAACAGCAGCAGCAGCAGCAGCAGCAAAGGCACAAACACTATTTATTAATCATACATAATGCATCTATAATATATATAACATATAATATATAATATATATAACAATATATATACACAATTTAATTAATTAATTAATTAATTAATTAATTAATTAATTAATTAATTAATTAATTAATTAATTAATAAGCTAAATAAAATAAACTAAAGGAGGAAGAAAGGGGAGAAAGGAAGGAAAAAAAAGCATACAATTTTGTATTTCTTTTGCGGTGTATAGGCAGCTATTAGCTATATGCTTATATATTGGATATTCTTCTCCTTTATACACACATAAATAAATAAATAAATAAATAAATAAATATAAATAAATAAATATAAACAATTAACAATTAGCAACAGCAGCAACACCAACAGCAGCAACAACAGTAGCAACAGTAGCAACAGCAGCAGCAGAATCAGCAGCCGCAACAGCAACAGCAGCAACAGCAGCAGCAGCCGCAACAGCAACAACAGCAACAGCAACAGCAGCAGCAGCAGCAGCATTACCTGGAGATTTAGGAGAAGAAGCATTGAGTGCAGCAAGTCCTTGTGCTGTTGCTGCTGCTTCTGGTGCAGTTGGTGTTGCTGCTGTTGCTGCTGTTGCTGCTGTTGCTGCTGTTGCTGCTGCTGCTGCTGCTGCAGTTGCCTCAATAAATAAACAAATATCTTTTTGTTTATAATTAATAAAAGGAATTAAGACATCCTTACCCATATAACCACTTAGTGTTATACCGTCCCCCTATAGCAGCAGCAGCAGCAGCAGCAGCAGCAGCAGCAACAGCAGCAGCAAGAGCAGCAGCAGCAACAGCAGCAGCAAGAGCAGCAGCAGCAACAGCAGCAGCAAGAGCAGCAGCAGCAGCAGCACAGATAAATGTGTATAATAAATAAAAGAATAAAAAAGAATAAATAAAAAGACACAAAGACAATAAAATAAAATTATTTATTTATTTATTTATTTATTTATTAATAAATAAATAAATAAATAAATAAATAAATAAATAAATAAATAAATACTTACCCCTAATGAATCAAAGACAGCCCTTGCATAAGCAGCAGCTGTATTCGCGATGTCTCCTCTCTTACTATCTATAATAAATAATAATTCTTCTTCTTTTTTTTCTTCTTTTTTTTCTTTTTTTTCTTCTTTTTCCTCTTCTTTTTGTTCTCCTTTTCTTTCTCCTTTTTTTTCTTCTTTTTCCTCTTCTTTATAAACCCTAATTATTTCCTCTAGCAACTGAATATACATAAACCCTAAACCCTAAACCCTAAACCCTAAACCCTAAACCCTAAACCCTTAATATATAGTGGAGGGGGAAGAGGGAGAAGAGAGGGAGGGGAAAGATGTTAATAATTAGGGTTTAGGGTTTAGGGGAATTCGTTGGATGTTATTAGGAACAAAATTGTTCATAGAAAAAAAAAAAAAGGGTTTAGGGTTTAGGGTTTAGGGTTTAGGGTTTAGGGTTTATTGTCTTACTTTATATCCTTGAGGACCATATTGCTCATAAAAAGGAGAATTAAATTTAATTATTTTTATTTTTTTATTTTTTTTTATTTTATTTATTTTATTAATAATTATTTCTTTTATATTATTTATTTCTTGTATATTATTGCATGCAATATATTTTTCTTTTTTTTCTTCTTTTTTTTCTCCTTTTTCTCCTTTTTCTTCTCCTTTTTCTCCTTTTTTTTCTTCTTTTTTATTTAATAAAGGGGGATTTATTTCTATACATAAAAGAGGTTCTCCTTTAGATAATAATTTAAGTAATTTATGCTGCTGCTGCTGCTGCTGCTGCTGCTGCTGCTGCTGCTGCTGCTGCTGCAGTTGCTGCTGTTGTTGTTGTTCCTGCATCTTTAAGTATATATTCAAAAAGAGGAAGAAAAAAAGAAAAAAAGAAGAAAAAAAGAAATAAAAAAATAATTAAATAAATTCTTTTTTCCTTATTAACTTGTGTATATAGATATATATATACATATATATAAGAGGAGAGGCAAACCCCTTTCCTTGTATAAGGGTATAGCAGCAACTACACCATAAATTGGTGCTCTTCTTGCTGCTAATTAAATAAATAATTCAATAAAAATATATTTATTAATTAATTAATACAATAAAACAATTAAAAAAGACAAAACAACAAAGAATCCTCATGATCAAGGATCTGTAAGTAGCCAGCCCCAAACACCGCCGCCTTTTTCGGGTGTATGCGCAGCTACTTTTTTTCTTTATTAATGAATATTTACACTAAAATAAACAATTAATCGATTAAATTATTAGTATTTTTGTTTTTTTTGTATTTATTTATTTATTAATTAAAGAAAAAGAAAGAAAAACGAATATCTACTGAAGATTTCCTTACTGCCTTCTGTATACAGCTTATTAGCTACCGTTGCATAGATAAGGGAACATAAGAAGAAGAAACAAAGAAATAAATATATCTTTTTGTTTATTTTATTTATTTTATTTAATTTTTAATTAAAAATAATTAAAATATTTTATTTATTTTATTTAATTTGTATAAATAATGTATATAATTCAACTAAATATACAATTAGGCAAGAAGAAATGCATGCATGCACACAAATACATGAATCCGCTGTTAATACATAACTTACATATATAAATAAATATATTTATTTATATTATTTATATTATTTATTTTATTTATATTATTTATATTATACATATTATTTATTTTACTTTTATTATTTACATTGTTTATATTATTATTTATTATTATTTATATTATTTATATAATATAGCATGCATACCTCACTATTACCCCTTAAGAAAATAAATAAAAATAATAAATATTAAATATTTATTTGCAGATAAATATTTATAAATATTTATTTATTTATTTATAAATAAATAAATAAATATTAATTATTTATTTATTATTTATTATTATATAAACAGACCTTATATGTTAATTAAATCCATCAGCTGCCTATACACCGCAAATTTATTTTATTTTCTTCTTTTTACGTCATTTTCTCCTTCCCTTGCTGAGACAAATAATTTGTATAAGAGAAGGAAACACAATAAATATACAAATAAATAATAAATTCCCTAAACCCTAAACCCTAAACCCTAAACCCTAGGAAGCGAGAAGACATTATGTATCCTCTTAATTCAAAGGAAGCCGCCAATGTATTCGGCAATATTTTGCATCTTTTTCTTTCTTTTCCTTTTTTTTCTTCTTTTTCTTCTTTTTTATTTTTTCTTTTTTATTCCCTGTACTATAGAGACAGACACAAACAGCAGCAGCAGCAGCAGCAGCAACAGCAGCAGCAGCCACAACAGCAGCAACAACAGCAGCAACAACAGCAACAACAGCGACAACAGCAGCAGCTGCTGCAGCAACAACAACGTTAGCAACAGCAACAGCAATAGCTGCAACACCAATATTACCTACAGTAGCAGCAGCAGCAGCAGCAGCAGCAGCAGCAGAGTATTTGCTGCTGCTGATTAATACTCCCCCGTACCGTACGTTCTGTGCTGCATTTCTGTGTTAAAAAGGCAAATCCGCTGTTGTTAATAATTAATAACAATTAATGGCAATTAATAGACAAACAAAAACAAACAAAAGAAGAAAAAGATAAATAATAAAACTTTAAATAACGTGCATGCAGAAGAAAGCCACAAAAAAAAGAACTTTCTTCAATTGCATGTCGCTGCAGCGCCAGTTGGCGGCATCAAATGGCAATTTTGTCCTTCTTCTGCATGCATACAACAAATAAATTATATTAAAATTGGAGTTATTAAATATATTTCTTTTTTCTTCTTTTTTTGACGGCTAAAATGTACTATTAGATCTCTCATCTTGCAGACACCGCTCTCCTCTACCGTTAGTGCAACAAATTCAAGTTGTGATCTTAGGGAAATATTCATCAAAAAAGATCATAATTGGTGTATTAAATTACACTTATTAATTATAATTTAATAATAATAGTAATTTTAGGGGAATGTGACTGTTTTCTTGCAGAATTGTTTGTGCCGGTGTGGTCACCTAGGTGTGCTGTGTGTTACAACGGTATAAATAAGGGAGTGGCTTCTTCATCTGGTCTTTTTGCGTCCCTTTTGTTTTTGTTTGGTTAATTAGATAAATAAGTATTGTATTTAATTATAAAGGCAAAGAAAAGCGCTTAAAATACCCTCAAAATGTCCTGTTTGCAAGTGTGCCCAATGGTCTGTTGTTCTGAGTGTATACACTGCATGCTCTCAGACCAAGGCAACGATGAGCAGGCGACGTAAATGTTCTATTAAATGGGCATTTTATTCATGAATTTTGAACGAATTGTCTTTTATTAATATTTTATAACCAAAATATTAGAGAAATAAACAAAGTTTCCCCCTTGATCCTGCTGCTTTCTTCTTTGAATTCACTGCTGAGTTCCAGTGGTCTGAACGCTGATTATCTTTTTGTCTTTGACGAGGAAACGGAAGAAACAAACTATATTTTCCTCTTTATTTACTTTTAGTAGTTAAATTATACTGATGATACCTAAATAATCATACAAAACACCGAGGTTTCCTAGGGAATTCACATCCGACCAGTGTAACTGGCAAGCAACAGTTTGCACAACTGTGCAGCATGGACAGCAGAAGACCAATGGACCATTCGCAGCCTCCTGCTGCGCTACCAGCAGCTGCAGGAACAATAGGAGCAACAACAGCAGCGGCAGCTGGGGCCCAGACAGATGCCCCAGCAGCTCCTTCTGCACCCCCAACAGCTGCTGCTAGGGTGGGGGCTTTCTCAAGGGGAACGTCAACACAATCTGAACCACAATATATGGACTGGCAACAGCTGCAGCAGCAGCAGCAACAGCAACAGGCACTGCAGCAACAGCAGCAGCGAGTGCTCCAGCAGTATGCCCAAGAGCATCAAATTGGAGTGCCGTTCACCACCACCATGCAGAAGTGCCTTCTCCCTCAACCACAGGCAACTGACAGACAGCTAAATGTTGACACATCTGGATATCCTGCTGCTGCTGCTGCTGCTGCTGCAGGGTTGCAGGGAGCTCTGCAGCAGCAGCAAACAGAACAGCAGCGTGCACCAGTAGAACTGTCTGACAATCAGCACTATCGACTGCAGCAGCAGCAGCAGCCTTGGACAGCACAGCTGCAACAGCAACAGCCACATATACAGCACATTCATCAGCCTCCGATGCCCCTGCCGCCATTGCACCCCTTACTTCAGCAGCAGCAGCAGCAGCTCCAGCAGCAGCAGCAGCAACTCCAGCGGCAGCAGCAACCGCTAAGACGACACTCGATAGAATGTCCTGCTGCTGCAGTCGCCGCGTTTTCAAATACACTGCAGCAGCAATTGCAGCAGCACTCCTTTGCCCCTCCTCTTTTCCCTTCAAACCTTCTGCAGCAACAGCAGCACATTCAGCAACAGCAGCATGTGCAGCAGCAGCAGATGCAACAGCAGCAGCAGGCGCAGCAGCAGCAGCACCAGATTACTGTGTTGTTTAACAACCTTGGAGATCAGCAACAGGGCTTTGTGCCCCCTCAGACAGCAGAGCTACATCGGCAGCAAGCAGCATTGCAGCAGCAAGCATTGCTGCAGCAGCAAACAACACTGCAGCAGCACGCAGCATTGCAGCAGCACGCAGCGCTGCAACAGCAAGCAGCGCTACAGCAACAACGCTGGCAAGCCCCAAGTGAGCCTCTGCAGCAGCTGCAGCAGCAGCCGCAGCTGGTGCAGGGATCTGTGGGGCAGCATATCATACAGCCGCTGCAGCAGCTGTCTGCTGCTCCCGAGGCCATGCAGAGGCGCTCCCTCTCTGCTGCTGCTGCTGCTGGTGCTGCTGTTGCAGCTGCAGAGGTTGATCAGCAGAGCAGCACGATCGCCATGATGGGGCCTTCCCTGTCGCTTACAACGCTACAGCAGCAGCAGATTCAGCAGCAGCAGCAACAGCTGCAGCAACAGCAGCAGCAGATTCAGCAGCAGCAGCAGCAGCTTCATCAACAGCAGCAGCAAATGTTCCCACATCAGCTCCAAGCTCGGCAGCTTCAGCACCA